TCAATCTGCTATTCTAAAATGTATTATTAACCAAAAATGGGGCTCAAACTGGCAGGAGCCAAATATGGAGAAATTTCAAAAAAAATAGTCATATGTATTTTTAAGTTTGAAGCCCGTTCAAATCTTTTAAATCCTTCTACTAATGAAATCTTTATAAATTCATTAGTTATCGAGTAGACCTTGAATTTCATTAAAATCTCAATTGCAAACACCTAAAATTTAATGGATTTCATTAAAATCATTAAAATTTTAATTGAAGAAACAAAAATTTAGAAGGATTTTTGAAATCCATCACAATTTCAATTGAGGACATCCCCTTAGTGTCGAGGAATTGGTGCCCAATGTCTGGTTGACCCAACTTATTTTTCACAATGGCCTTTAATCATATTTAAGTGAAAAAAGGTAAAGAATTTTTAAAAATTCACAATATCCATTTTATCCCTATTTTGAATGATAGGAATTTGAAGAATGTTAAAAATTTGAAGAGTCAAGAAATTCTCTACTACCAAAAACCGATTCTCCAAGGTTTCTCCATCTCCATTTCCATCTCTATTCTCCAACGTTTCTTCATCCATCCATATCTTCAAGGCTTATTCATTTTATTTGGTTAATTTTAAATGTTTTTCTTATAATATGATCGATAATGTGGTTTTTTCTGTAATATTTAAAGGGTTAAACAAAAAATTATTTTTTAGTGTTGAAGAAATCATAGAGGGTTGAATATCTGTTAATGAGGTTTAGGGGTCAGTTAATAAACTCCCCAAATGTATGGGGGTCTATTAACCGACCCTCTGATATCTGGGGTCTGGGTATGTGGGATCTGGGAATAAATTCCTGCTTTTAAATTTAGAAATAAACCCTTTTTTTTTTTTTGTCTTTTAATGTTGAAAAAACTATTGTTGTGAAAATTAGTAAGATAAGTTTATGGGGTGATTAGATGGTTTGACGTGGCTATTTTTAATATAATTCAAATTCAAAAATTAATTTTAACCACACATTTCATGGGATCTGTAACTTTTGTACCATATATTTCATCAATTTTTATCAAAATCTACTAAAAATTTAATTTTAATTCCCACTAAACAGAGCCTAATGTCTAGATATGCAAACTCTTCTAAACGGAATGAGTCGTAATAATTTAGCCCATGTTTGTTTTCCTTCAAAATAAAATTAGTTAATTTGTATACTCATTTTTAACTAGACATTTATACAATAAAATATTTTACACGTAAACCTAAAACTTTTTTCTACTTTTTAACCACACAATAAATTACTATTTAAAAAATATTTTTCTCAATAATGACCATCAAACATGGGCTTAATAATTCTCTCTCTTTCTCTTATTTCTGTCATAAATTGGAGAGAATAAAATAAAGAAGTTAATAGACTTTTTTCTTTTTCATTAAGAACTAAAACCTCATATCTATGGAAAATAATTAGGGTTTCAAGGAATACAATAGTAATAATAACTATGACCGGAGGAGCGTAATTATCATCTACTAATAAATAAATTATTTACAATACTCTCCCTTGAATGATACGTTATAAAATGACTGTCTCATTAAAATCTTGTCAAAAAAATTTAATGAGACCAAACTTGAGTTAAGGAAAAAGAGCACAGCTGCTTCCCTTGATTTCAATAAATGAAAGTTCTTGCTTCGAGTCATCTATGTCTTGTATGTCAATATTTTCAATGTTACAATTCTAATGAAATATGTCTCATAATGTATGGTATAGTCTTCAAACAATATCTTCATATAAGATCAACCTTTGGTAAATATAGTAACATGATGGCTCAAAAAAACAAATTTTATTGTTCTCTTCAAAAGTCCCATACACAAATGTATAAAATAATTATAAAGTTATATTGAGGGTAAATGTCCTTCATATTATTTACATTCATTATAGAAAGAATGTGTCTCGTTAAAATCTTATCAGGAAAAATTCTGTGAGAAAAATCATAATGAAGAAAAAAGATTACATTATTCTTTTGGATACGCTACAAAGTGGCCTCATTAAAAATTTTGTCGGGAAAATTCAATGGGGCAAACCTTGGTCAAGGAAAAAAAGTACAACACGCATTTATTCTCTTCACGATACTATCACTTGAATTGTATGTTTCAAGCACATTAAATCTTTCAAGTATAACATTAATAATCATGTCAGATGTAGTGACCGAAAATATAATTTCATTTATTTCATTTTTGATATGTTTTTGTTATAGACTAACATGAAAATAATTTTTGACATCATTATTTTTATTTGATAGAATAATGAAGCATTCATTCAGCGAGATTTTCTCTATCAATATTGGACTCGTTTCGATACTCATATTAAATGTCGAATTTTAGACTCGAGAAAAAATTATTTTGGATAACTTAGATTCATGTTTTTGTAGCTCAAAGAAATCCATATTTGACTAATATTAATTAAGCATCTTAACAAGTTTGGCCTGAGTAGAGGACTTTCTTCCCTGCGCTTGTGCAGGTTTCATCTCGAGAATTCAAGTATTAGCTCCATGGAATTGGATATTGCATAAATGTGTGAACAACTCTCTCTCATAGAACATGAAGAATATGCACTAGTGGTTGAAGAAACAGAGGTTCTGACTCCCCATCGAAGTGATAAATTCTTGCTGGTCAAACTGTTATCTACCAAATACTTCAACAAGGAGGCTTTCAATAACATCATGCTGAGTTTATGGCGACCGAATAAAACTTTGGGCATTCAAGATATTTCTCCAAATCTCTTTCTAGCAGAATTTGATGATAATCGAGATAAGGAATGTGTCAAGCGCGAAGGCCCATGGCTTTTTAACAAACATTTGGTCTTAACCAAAGATATGATGGTCTTGAGAAAATCTAAGAAGTTTCTTTCTTAGAAGTGAACTTCTGGGTAAGAATTTACGACCTTCCTATCATGGTTCACAACTAGAAAATGGGAGAATCTATAGGGCGACAATTTGGTAAAATCATTGAAATTGATATAGATAAAAATGACATTGCAAGGGGAGACTTCCTCCGTGTTCGAGTTTGCCTTGATGTTTCCAAACCCCTGCTTTGTGGCAATAAAATCTATGTGGGATCCTACAAACAATTTGAGTTCGCTTTGCCTATGGGCGACTACCAAACTTCTGCTACTTATGTAGTACGCCTGGATACAGTCAAAAGGAATGTTCCCTATGATGATCTGCAATGGAGGTATATACTAGCTCTTATTATGCCTACGGACCTTGGTTACGTGCAGGTAATTTTGGAGATTATGGCGGCCCTATTCGTGATCGTCAATTGCATTCAATGGTCCCTATCCCTTCGGCGAACCAGGCAGAATCACATTCCGATGGCATGGAACATGGTAAGAATGTATCTGCAATGGAAACTACCTGTAATAGAGCGGGAATTCGGGAGCATTTATAGGAAGATAATTCTAGAAATGATATTGTGGAGGTGATGAAGGCATCAAACATGGAGCAATCACAGGAAAAAAAATTATGAGGATGATATTATGGAATTGATTAAGGCAACATATTTGGAGCAATCACAGGGAAATGATTTGAGGAGTGATAATGCTGAATTGAAAGATGCGATAAATCAGGAGCAATTGACTGATGCGCTAATTACCAATCATTGGAAGGAAAGTCTGATGATTATGTTACAGCTAATAAGCTGTCAAAGGGTACTACTGTCCTATTACAAACAGATGCTGTCTTACCTAATTCAAACGGAGATCAAATTAAAAGGAATAACACAACTGTCACAAGGTGATGGACACACGGCTGTACTGCATCCACTTCAATAAAAAGTCTTAAGAGGCCTTTGGATACTTTCTATACTAATGGTGAAGCTGTTCGACTCTCTAAAAGAGTGGGAGGTAAAGATAAGGCTCATGACAGAACTTATAATCCCAAGTCTCAGGTTTCGGTGGTGGCTGAACTTCATCCCATGGTCACCATGAAACTTCTTAGCTAGAATGCACGAGGGCTTGGGAACTCTCATGGCATTCGCACTCTTTCTGATCTTATCAGGAAGAAAGACCCTAATGTTTTGTTTCTGCAAGAGACAAAACTTAATGTTACTAAAATGGAGCTCTGTCGAATCCAGTTAAAGTTTTATGGATGTTTTACTGTTGAAGTAATTGGACGTAGTGGTGGCATTGCACTCCTTTGGAAATCCAATATTCATCTATCTATTCTCGATTACTCCAAGAGCCACATTGATGCCAAAATTGAATCACCACAAACCAACTGGTTTTTAACTGGAATCTATGGTCCCCCAGAAACAAATAAATGCATGGAGACCAAGGATTTATTGAGGAGACTAAAAAGAGACAACCTGGAAGCTCAGCTTGTCTTTGGCGAGTTCAATGAAATCTTATCTAACAATGAGAAATGGGGAGGTCGAGATCGAGATCGACCTAGACAACAAATGGAAAATTTTCAACAAATGTTCTCTGATTGTGAGCTAAGTGATCTCAAGTTTAAACACATGGTATAAGGGAAGACATAATGACACTCAAATTTTTAAAAGGCTTGACCGTTTTGCTGCTAATGTTTCCTAGTGTCGACTTTTTACTCACGATGTGGTTACTCATGGCTCAATGTCGAACTCTGATCATCTTCCTCTATGGATCCAACTTGAAGGAGCTCATCGAAAACCTATAGGAGCTAAGCCATTCCGGTTTGAATCGATGTGGCTTGGTGAAAAGGCTTACACTGACATTGTGTTGAATCAATGGTCAGATAATAGCCCTCAGATTCTAGAGAGTATGATGAGAAATATAAGCTACTGCAGTACTCAACTTCGACACTGGAATCGAACCACATTTGACAGGGTGCATGTGGAGCTTAACAAAGCCAGATCTAAGTTAGCCCAAGTCCAGAATCAAGATCCTATAAATATAAACTCTAATGATCTTCAGAAAACGGCTGCTGAAGTGCAAACTTGGATAGATAGGGAATAACTAATGTGGAAACAGAGGTCTAGAGCTGCTTGGCTTGAGGAATGGGATCAGAACACTCATTTTTTCCATGCTACACCTTCCCAGAGGAGAAGACAAACATGATTACTAAGCTTTTAGATGACCAAGACTGTTGGCAAGAGGAGGATGTGTGCAACAATCTGATCATCAACTATTATTCTGACTTGTTCTCCTCCACTGGTTCAAATAATCATGATGCTATACTAAATAAAATGGAGAACAAGCTCACTCCTGATATGAACAACAACTTGATACAGCCTTTTACCACAGTTGAAGTCGCCCAGGCCTTGAAGGAAATGCACCCCACGAAAGCTCTGGGACCTGATTGTATGCCTCCTCTTTTCTTCCAAAGGTTTTGGCCCAATATTGGTTCATCTATCACAAATGTTGTACTACATGCTTTAAATACCCGTGAGTTTCCTTCAGATCTGAATCATACTTTCATTACTCTAATTCCTAAAACTGAAAACCCTCAGAGAGTAAAGGATTTCAAGCCTATTAGTCTGTGTAATGTTATGTACAAACTAGTTTCTAAAGTTGTGGCTAATAGAATAAAAATAGTGATTTCTATAGTGATCTCAGAAACATAGTTAGCTTTCATTAAAGGGAGACTCATTACGAATAATATACTTGTGGCCTATGAAATGCTCCATTTCTTACAAAGAAAGAAGAAAGGAAAGATAGGTTTCACGTCTCTTAAGCTGGATATGAGCAAAGCATATGACCAAGTTAAATGGCCTTTTCTACATGCAATTATGCACAAACTGGGCTTCTATGAGAAGATCATTCAACTAGCAATGAAATGTGTTACTACTATCTATTTCTCAATTCTTATAAACGGTAGTCCTACTGGCTACATAATTCTATCTCGAGGCTTAAGGCAAGGAGACCCTATCACTCCTTATCTATTTCTTTTATGCACTGAATGACTAATTAGCCTAATGAATGAGGCGGAGAGAACCAATCTGGTGACAGGTATTTCAGTGTGTCGAAGAGCTCCAAGATTGAATCATCTCCTCTTTGCGGATGATAGCTTGATGTTCTGTGAAGCTAATGGAGAAACCATGACTAGGCTCCAAACTATCCTCAATACTTACGAAGATGCTTCATGGCAACAATTGAACAGGGAGAAAACATCGATGGTATTTAGTGCTAATGTACCACCGGATAAACAACAATCAATTATGGCCTTATGGAATTCTCCCCACGTACAACAATATGAAAAGTATCTTGGCTTACCACAGATGGTGGGTAGATCCAAAGCTCGAGCCTTTGCTGAAATAAAGCACAAAGTTTGGCAGAATTGCAAGGATGGAAACATAGCTTATTCTCCCATGGAGGAAGAAAAGTTCTCCTGAAATCAGTGGCCTTGGCGATCCCCTCTTATGCTATGAACTATTTCGAACTCCCATATGTTTTATGCGCTGATATCGAAAGGATGATGGCTCACTTCTGGTGGGGCCAAAGAAAAGAAGAAAGGAAAATTCACTGGCATTACTGGAATAAAATGTGTAAATCAAAATCCATGGGCGCATTGGCTTCAAGGAGCTTGAGATCTTCAACGTGGCTATGCTTGGAAAATAAGCCTGGAGACTTATTCATCACAAGGACAGCTTACTTCATAAGATATATTCGGCCCGTTATTTTCTTGATGGCAATGTGTTAAAGGCCTCGATAGGTGGTAATCCTTCTTATACTTAGCGAAGAATTTGGGATGCTAATAACCTATTAATACAAGGAGGAAGATGGATTGTAGGCAATGGCAATACTATCCATATCATGAAAGATAACTGGATTCCTGGTACGAGAGATTTGAACAGGGAACTAGGGGCCAATCTATAGCAACATCACTATCAGCAATCTGATTCTCTAGTGTCATCATTGATTGATCCCCAATTAAGGTAGTGGAACTTGGCAAAGCTTAGAGCTCTATTCAATCCAAAAATAATTGAGGCTATTCTGAAACTACATCCCAGCCACTTGGGGGAAGAGGACTTCTAGGCGTAGGAGCATGAAAAATCTGGAATTTACTCTGCTAGTAGTGCATATAACTTCTTCAGAACTTGCTTATCTCCCGATCGTGGCAACTCCTCAAATGCTTCTGAGAAAGAGAAATTTTGGGATACCATGTGGCGGCTTAAGGTCCCTCAAAAGGTTAAAATCTTTGCTTGGAGAGCTTGTCAAGAAATCTTACCTTCTAAATAGAACCTGGCTCAAAGAAATATTCACATTGATCCTCAATGCTGCTTCTGTGATTACCAAGTGGAAGACATTTGCCATGTTCTACTTCACTGCCCTTTTTTCATCAAGTCTTAACAAAACAGTTCCCAGTATTATAGAATAAGACATTTCATGGAGGTTTCATACAAGCTGCTATGTAAATACTGACTAATGTTTCCAAAGAGGCTCTCTCGGAATTTTTGCTCATTACTTGGAGTTTCTAGTTCCGCCGCAACAAGATGGTACATGATCAGATTGATCTCCCACTACCACAAGTAATTGCCTCTACTCTCGCTAAAAAGCCAACTGCTGACTCAGGCCATCCTCTCATTCTTGCTCGTGGAGTGCTCTCAACGCAAATACAGGTGGACAACACTACCTCAGAATGCAGTAAAGCTCAATGTTGATGGCACATTATTCTTTTAATCTCAATAAGGCTGGACTTGGAATTATCTTATGTGACCACGAGGGGGAAATAATTTTCGCAAAATACCATTTTGGAACCTAAACACATTGAAGCTGCGGCACTTGTGAGGGGTCTACAACTTTGCCTTAATCTTGAGATATCTCAATTGTTAGTGGAGAGTGATTGCTTGTTCCTAGTGGATGAAGTCAATAAATCAGAAACAACCTCAGCATCAATCCGATCTATGGCAGCAGAAATTAAGGACTTGATAATGCGATTCTCTCAATGTAGCCTCCATTACTGCAATCGACTCGGGAATCAAGCAGCTCACTTTCTGGCACGACATGCTTGATCTCTTGAAGATATGACTCTTTGGTGGCACATTGTCCCTTCTTTAATTGAAAATATAATTTTCATTGACAAGCACTGTTGCACCCTTTCCTAAGACTTTTTGCCTTTATGAATGAAATATTTTCCAAAAAAAATAAAAAAGTTTGGTGGCCACGCGTGTCTCTAGGCCAATTAAATTTGATGTTTTGATTTGAATTTAAGATAAGTGGGATTGGTTTATTAGTTTTCTATTATTAGTTTTCTATTTGAATTCTATCTAATCCCATTTGACCAATTTAACCAATTTGTAACTTAATTCTCGTGTAATTATCCCATATCCTGACTTGGAAAAACAAAAAGAAATTAACTAATTTATTTGACACATAATTAACAGGTTTACACTACTATTAAGGTAAAAATTAATATACATTGTTGGGATTGATAAATATTTATGAGAGCCCAAATCAATTGGAGCACCAAATCCAACAAGACTTCAGTTTCCATTTTTTTCATAAGAGATTGCGTATGCTATTAGCCTCTCCTGTTCACGCCATTTTGTGAGAGATTATTTACAAAGAAAAAAAAAGAAAAAGGGAAAGACCAATTTCATGTCAAAGATTTAAAAGGAATACCGTTTGACATAGTCGCTATCGCATCATTTCGAACAAAGGTAGAATTCTTACACTAAGTTGATCATTATATGAATTTAATTATCACTCATGCATGTTATTCTTTATGTTTGCTCATGAAAGTATGCAAAAGTCTTTTAATGGTTATTCTTAAATATAAATGGCAGAATGATTATATGTTTTACTGGTGGTTGCAAATGTTCGTCGGAACTTTAATTATGTGTTTAACTGATGGTCGCAGAGGCTAGTTAGAACTTTAATTAGATCGTTTGATTATCGATTTGCTTATTTATAAAGACAATATGTAAAAATACAAGATTAGATGCATGATTATTATGTTCATATAGCATGTGTGACCTATTGAGTATTTCTTTAAACTTCTCATTCCTATTTAACATTTTCAGAGTAATCAGATATGTTGCGGTCGCTAGGCATGAATGTTATATTTTATTTTTAGAGAAAATTATTTCTTATCTTTTAGATTCACTTCTTATAGTTAATAATCCTTGTGGTATCCAAGAAATTGTAGTTTAAGTTTCTATTTCGAGACAAAAAAATTAAAGTTCGAACATGTGTTTTCATAAATTTCTAGCATTTTGACACTGTCTTAAAATTTTACTATGATCCGTATATTTAGAATTTTAGCATGTTTTTAATTGGAAAATGATTATTAATAAGTTATCTATCATATGCAATTAAAAACTGGTCGATCGGAGTCCCATAGAATTTATTATAGCCCTTTTAGTAAGCTGTGACAGTCAGATCCAGGATTACAAATCGGCCAATTCGAAAAATAATTTCTCACTTCAAAAGTTGTTGTTGATATTCCATATTTTTATTTGTTATACTTATATGGGTTTTATGCTCTCTCATAAAATTTCATAAATTGTCGTCAAGATTTGCTAGGTTAAATAATTTTTTCAAATTCACCTCTCAACCAGAGAAAACTGTTTCAGCTTGCTTTAAAAAAAAAAAAAAAACGCTTTCCAAATTATTTTGTTTCACATTTTTCTAACTTTATATGTTAAAAAAATGTTAAGATTTTTGATTAAATAAATCCTAATTTAAAAACTTTCTTAAGCTTGCATTTTGCAGATTAACATTAAAGAACTCGTGTTTGATCATGCGCCGGATTTATTAGAATTTGGGGCATTACATGTTTGGTATCAAAGCGCGGTTTACCTTTTTATAGACTTCCGAAACATGAGCTTGATTTCCAAAATTTTAGGAATCATGTGTCAAATAAATTATTTTATTTATCATCATGTCGTCATTGCTGCAAATCGCCGACTCTGAGGTAAAGAAAGTTTAGAGAAATTTATGTTATGCTATGAAATTTGAGATGTTTATAAGTGATTGCATCTATTTAAATCACGAGAATTTATGTTTAAAGAAGTCAAGTTTGAGAATGTGATTGAGATATTTTTGAATTTTGAGGACATGACTAAATTATGAATGTCTATTTTAGTCCTCATAAAAGATATTGGAAACCCAGATATTTGGACTTTATATAATTGATTTGGCACAAATGGCAGAGGCTAAGAGAACATGACATGCTCATTGATGCCTCATTGATATGAGATCATGAGGCATTATAAAGAATATATGCGGAATCCAGCACATTAAGGAAATGTTAGTAAGATGGAGGGAGGTGAGGCAACTAAGCAATATGGTCTCGGGTCGGTTGGCCACTTGACTCCTTATTGATACCTTGCCAGAAGAATGGCTAGAGATGGCCAAATCAATTTACAATTATTTGAGGGAGTTGTTGTGCCTATTTTTCCCCAAGAGATTAACTGTGAGGCCTTCTTCATAGAGTTGACAGCGTAATGGGAGCAGGCCCCGAGATGATGCACTTGCAAATCTTGAGGACGATAGTGTACCTACTGAGAAGTATATTCGCGAGAATGTACCTCCTCCTATTTTAGATGATGAGTCGTATCCTAAATTAATGACGATGATGGCAAGGAAGAGTAGTGGCGTGGATTTTTAGTAAATTTTATTAAGTTTAGTTCATACTGATGTCAATTAGGATTTCCTGTTTGTTTTTCAGTTGATTAGCACCAAACGTTCTTTCATATATTGTATTCATCATAAAGGATATAGTTAATAAAAAAATATGTTATTTCCTACTTGTGGTTTTCCATTTTAGTGTTCAATGTGTGATCATTGTGATTTTCCTAAAGATTACAAACGTATTCAATTCTTATATGAAGGAAAACAGCACTAACATCACATGCGAGAACAATTAGAGAACTGCAACAAGCAGAAAGAAATAAGACGGGTTTAATGGCATAAGCTACTTTGGCAGCACCAATGGCTCCAACAGGACAAGATGTACTGACAACACCATATGTTGCAACACAAATTGTCCCTATAACATCCACTGCTCTAGCTATACCAATCATTGAACAGTTTCACTGATATCGCCATCCTAGCTTCGATGGCGGTGAAGACACTTTGGCAGCAGAGAAATGGCTCCACACAATTGAGAATTTGTTTCCATACATATCTTGTCCAGAAAATCAGAAGCTGCTGCGTACATAATTCATGCTGGTCATAGGAGTTGACTGTTGGTGGGAATCCACATCATGTACACGGATAGAGGAAGAACAATGCAATATGACATGGACCCAATTCAAGATGGAGTTGACTAAGAAATATTTTTTGCAAGCCCGTCACGACTATAAAGAGACGGCATTTTTACAATTAACACAGGGAGATGGAGACATCACTAATTATAAGAGGAAGTATCCCATTATATGCCAAATCT